TAAAGGTAAAGGTTCCCCTTGACAATTTTTGTCCAGTCGTGTTCGACTCTAGGGGGCAGTGCTCATCCCTGTTTCCAAGCCATAGAGCCAGCGTTTGTCCGAAGACAATCTTCCGTGGTCACATGGCCAGTGCGACTTAGACACGGAATGCTGTTACCTTCCCACCAAGGTGGTCCCTATTTATCTACTTGCATTTGCATGCTTTCGAACCGCTAGGTTGGCGGGAGCTGGGACAAGCGACGGGAGCTCACTCTGTCGCGTGGATTCGATCTTACGACTGCTAGTCTTCTGACCCTGCAGCACAGGCTTCTGCGGTTTAGCCCGCAGCGCCACCACGTCCCTGCGCGCCACCATGTCCCTCAATTCTAAAGGAAATCAAACCTGAGTGCTCACTGGAAGGGCAGATCCTGAAGCTGAGGTTCCAGTACTTTGTCCATCTCATGAGAAGAGAAGACTCCTTGGAAAAGACCTTGATGTTAGGAAAGTGTGAGGGCAAGAGGAGAAGGGGACGACAGAGGATGAGATGGCTGGACAGTGTCTGCGAAGCAACCAGCATGAATTTGACACAACTCTGGGAGGCAGTGGAAGATAGGAGGGCCTGGCGTGCTCTAGTCCATGGGGTCACAAAGAGTCGGACACGACTAAACAACTAAACGACGACAAAACCACCTAGCATAATGCACTGCACTAGTGGGGCAGTATATGTTGTTGTTGTTTAGTCGTTAAGTCATGTCTGACTCTTCATGACCCCATGGACCAGAGCATGCTGGGCCCTCCTGTCTTCCACTGCCTCCCGGAGTTGGGTTAAATTCATGTTGGTTGCTTCGCTGACACTGTCCAACCATCTTGTCCTCTGTCGTCCCCTTCTCCTCTTTCCTTCACACTTTCCCAACATCAGGGGGAGTACAGTATATACATTTAAGAAATATATACATTGCATAGCAGAAATGTATAACATTATCTTAATTAACAAATAAAACAAACCTTAACATTTTCTTGCCAACCATGCATGTACCTTATTTTCAGCTAGATAAAATGGGAAGTTATTTATCTAACCCCAGATCTGGACAGTTTTGTGGACTGCACTCCCACAATCCTCTTGCTATTGGCTGGGTTGATGAGGGCTGATGGGAACTGCAAACCAAGAACATCTGCAGGGCCAACAGCTGCCCATGTCTGATATAATTAAAACACACACCGCCCTGCCGGTCAGGATGCTCTTGGTGGTGGCTTTGTGTCCTCCATCAAAAGCTGGGTCCCCACCCCAGTCCCACCTTTGCTCTACCTTGTACTCCTGAGAGGCATCATCCAGGGACACAACCGTGTGAGAGCGGTGTTCGTGGGAAATCTCACACACTAAGCAAACCGCCTCCTGGTCCTCCTTGCAGAAGAGGCGGAGCACTTCATTGTGCTTCTCGCACAGGTTCTCGTCCCGTATCTTGCGCTTGTTGGTAATCTGAAGCTGCTTGGCTATCTCCACCATGTTGCCCAGCTGCCGGTTGGGCTTGAGCGAACGGTGGCGGGAAGTCTTACGGCAGACAGGGCAGGGAAAGTCCCGGTTCAGGTCCTCCCACCAGCGAGTGATGCATACCCGGCAGAAATTGTGGCCACAGTCGATGATCACAGGATCTTTCAGGTACTCCAGGCAGACGGAGCAGCTGGCTTCTACCTGAAGGCTCTCCAGAGGGTTTGTTGTGGCCATGGCTGAAAGTGAAGGAGGAAGACACTGCAGTCACACACAAGTAAATTATTTTGTGTGTGTGTGTGCATGTATACATCACTCTCTCTCTCTCTCTCTCTCTGCATAATCCATCTGAATATTTATGTCAGCATGGATGCATTCATATAACTCAGAGCAACAAAAAACCTGCCAATTAACAAATCTTCACTAAACTCTTACTCACGTGTCAGTTGCATAATCTGGCATGTGACACGGAATTCAATTGCAGACTTATTAATTATCGGCTTTTCACTGCTCCAAGTTACACCAACATAAATATTCAACTGGCCATCATACGTATGTGTATTTGCCTAAACGCACACATACATATAAATCATACCAATGCTTTATGTATCCAAAATCCAGTGGAAAGTTAACTTTAAGAAAAAATATACCATGCTAAAGCCGTTCATAACAACAATGGGATCCTCTGGTCTAGCATATATATCCCAGAAACTATACATTTCCAATGGAATGCAGATTCAGAATGTGTACCCTATATACATTCAAGGGATAACAGACAAGCTGATGTAACACACAGATGCAGATGTTCTTTTAGTGAGGGCATGACACAAGTAAAGAGTTGGGTGGCATAGTGGAAGACCACACATGTAGAACCCTATATCTCCTTTTATGAAACACAATTAATACATTTGAAATGCAATACTGAATTGACGTAAAGCTTTCTTTGGAAATCATTTTCAATAACACAATAATGCCCTTCCTTACGTTATTTGATCTGGAAGAAAATTAAAGGCACTGTGTACTGTTCATACACTGTTCATGCCCATGTCTACCCATGTGCAAACCTGATTTGGCTTTGATCTGACTTTTCGTTAATTTTTTGTGAATTTTTTCTTCCCCCATAGGAAATAATGGAGCTGTCAGATTTTGACAGCTGTCAAAAGTTGGGGGGAAAAAAATTCACCATAAATTAACGAAAAGTCAGATCAAAGCCAAATCAGGTTTGCACACAACTTAGGGGGTCCTCTAACGAATCCAAGAATTTAGAACCGTTTTTGACCCTTCTAAGACACTTTTTTAATTGAAAAAAGAAACATCGTTAAGTGAAGCAGGGGACCTAAAATCGCATTCGTTATGCGAAGCATGGTCCCAAACTTCGCTAAGCGAAAATCGCCCATAGGAAACATCGTTATACGGTGCATATTATTTTCTAAAAAAACACATCGTTATGCGAATTCATCGCTAAACGAGGCAATCATTAAGCGAGGCACCACTGTACATTCAAGGAATAACAGACAAGCTGATGTAATACACAGATGCAGATGTTCTTTCAGTGAGGGCATGACACAAGTAAGGAGTTGGGTGGCATAGTGGACGACCACACATGTACAACCCTATACCTCCTTTTATGAAACACAATTAATAAATCTGAAATGCTATACTGAATTGACTTAAAGCTTTCTTTGGAAATCATTTTCAATGACACAATAATGCCCTTCCTTACATTATCTGATCTGGAAGAAAATTAAAGGCACTGTGTACTGTTCATGCCCATGTCCACCCACTAATTCAGTGAAATTCACTTCTGCATAAACATGCATAGGGCTGCACTGTAAATTTAGCATGCTGAAAGAACAACACATGGATATTTATTGTATAGGTACTCCCTAGTGATGGGGGAAGAAAGCTTATCACAACTTTAATTCTTCCCAGTTTGACTTATTATTGTCCCCACCCAATACACTACCAATCAATTTTATGAAACACTACACTACAAAAGTAATGTAGGAAGCTGCCTTGCACAAGGCTCTATGTATGTCAAGCTGTAAGTCCACCTAGCTCGCAATCCTTTATTCTGCCCAGCAGCAGCTCTCCAGGAGCTCACACAAAGCTCACCAATGTCCACATGTGTTCTAAAGCAGGACTTGGAAAAGTGACTTTTTAAAACGTACATCTACAAAAGAAAAAAAAAAGACAGTTCCCTGCTCTGATTCTAAGGACTAAAATATGATTCTATCCAAAAGGGGGAAGTGATGGGTTTAGAACTGACCATTCTGTGATTTTAAAAAGCAGCATTGGAATTTTGTTCTTCATGGAAGATACTTTCCCTTGAATCCCTGTAGCAAGGGAGGTTTGGAACAGGAAATCGGGAGCAGTGGCTCCCAATCTTGACTATTTGTTAGAAACATACGAAGCTGCTGTATTTTTAGTCAGACCTTTGGTCCAACGAGCCTAGGATTGTGGAGGCTGACTGGCGACCCTCCTCCCTATTTTCAGGCAGGGTAGTATCCCAGCTGTACCTTGAGATGCTGAGCAACTGAATCTCCAATCTTCTTTACACCAAGCCTGTGCTCTGCCACTGAGCCTCTGGCTTGTCCCACAGAGCTGCTGGATTCCAGTCATAGGAGCCCCAGCAATAATGTCTAATGCTCACCAGTCCTGGGAGTTTGAACTACAACAACTTCTGGGGCCTCACATTTGGAAACCACAGCTTTAAAGAAAAACAGGGGCATAGGAGTGCCCTCAGTGGAGCTACTCAAACACCCTGGGAACCATTCTCAGCATCTTTCAATATCAGATGCTAAGAATGAATAACATGGAAAAACTAGTATCCTACTCATGAACCTCTGGCATTTGTTTCACCCCTGCTGAGGGAAAAAGAATGGAAGACTAGACTGATCTTTGTTCTAGATGAGAGGACTTTTTCTTAGATTCTTAAGCGCTTGTCTGTGGAGCCTGAGGATGTGATAACAATCCCAAAATAAACTTTTTGTTCTGTCCTGTAACGTAATCCAAAGTGAAGAAGGAGTCAAAAAATGAAACAATGTTCTGATTTCTTGACAACAGGATTAGAGGTACTCACTCCGCCCTGCAGATCTTCTAGGAAGTATAAGTTAAAGAAGTCCACATGCATGAAGATGACAGCTGGAAAGGAGGTCTACTAACAAGCTTAGGAGGACAACTACATCGCGGAGGATTTGGGCAGCCAACAGCTGGAGAAACGAGAACAGGATGGTACCACTGTTAAACACACCAACAAATTTGACATAACAAAGGTTACCCCAAGAGCAGTGTACAGGCCTACTCAGAGGGCTTCTCAAAAAACCAAATGTGAACAGTTCATCTGACTGGAATTCACACAGCCTCCCTGCTGCCCCCATTTCAAAGGGGGGCAGCAGGGAGAATCTACCATTCCTTTCAAAGGGGAAAGGTAGATTACAACATAACTCTGGAAAATAAGTGTAAAGGACAGTTCACACATCATTCCTGTCTGTCAGGTTAGAGCTCTGGTGTGGGAGCCTTTGACAGGACAGGAGGGGGCGGAACCAACGGAACTAGGAGAAAAAAAAGACAGTTAGGGGCAGTTAGAGAGAAGAAGAAAGAGAGATTGATAGAGACATTGAGAGAATTAAGTGGGATAGTTAGGGAAGGATTGAAAACAAGAACTTGGAAAGTTTGTGCGGTTAAGATTGGAAAGAGTTAAAAGTGCTAAAAAATAAATAAATGGTTGAATATAGTAATACCTTGATTAAAGTGAATCTACATAAGCAAACAAATGTAATCAAAGCAACGTTTATTGAATGAATAATAAAAGACCATCCATGATTTTCTTTATGTGATTTACCTACAAACTCATAAATAAACATTGTTATATTTGACAGCATGGATCTAATAGTCATATTTGGTACAGAGAGGAACATATCCTCTGGTGGCAGCGAAAAAGGGTGAACCTGGGTGTGTAGAAAAACAAACAGGGGAGCTGGGGGTGCACGACAGAATGATAGTGATTTTCCTAAGGCAACTCACTGACCAATGGGACAGAAAAGGACACTAGGTGAGAGCAGAATTCATGCTTTCAATATTTACTTAATTTTTTTATAGAATTCTAAGCTACACCATCTGGAGCAGTGGTGGGAGAAGTGCAGATGTTCGTGTACTATAATTCCCAGCACTCTTCATCACTGCTCATGCTGGCCAGAGCAGACGGGAGTTACAGTGTAACCACATCCAGAAGGCTGCACTTTGCCCATCCCTGAACTAGAGATAGGCACAGAAGACAGACATTTAGAATTAAACAGGGTACCTCTTGGCACACGTTGAGTCTTGCTTCCAGCACCAGAGTTATCGGGTTTTGTCCTTCCACATAAAATTCCACAACTGGCTATCCCAAGCCTTCAACATGGCAGCAACCTAAATGAGGTTGGGAATATAGATTTTTTGCTGTTACAGTTATTAAGCAACTGGAAGCCTGAAATTCCTTGTGATCTATTGCAAATCACCAAGAGATCTTCCAGTAGATTCTGATCTGCCCAACCACACACTAAATCACAAGGGCTACCAACTATGCAATAAAAAACAACTACTTTTCTTAGTAGTATAACAGTTCAAGGGTGCCCCGCTTTTGTCAAATTAATTTGAAATCAAATCATGCTGCTAAAAGGAATCCAGTGTGATTTTCTACTCCAGGAAATGATATTTTGTGCTTGCAATGCAATCTTAACACATGCCTTTTAAAAACATCTCAAAAAGACTATACAGCTTTCTTTGGTAGCATGAGTGAACAAACATTATCCAATGGTGGTTGTGGGTTTTTCAGGCTCTTTGGCCCTGTTTTGAAGGTTGTTCTTCCTGAAGTTTCTCCAGTCTCTGTGGGCGGAGGACTGGAGTAGGAACTCTGTCCATGTTCTGAGCATGGACAACAACCATTAGATCCCAGCCGTGAAAGCCTTCGCAAATACATTGAACATTATCCAAATACAGTGGTGCCCCGCATAGCGATGTTAATCCATTCCGGATTAATCGTCACTATGTGGAAACATCGCTAAATGGAATGGAAAAACCCATAGGAACGCATTAAACTTCATTTAATGTGTTCCTATGGGGCCCAAAATCACCGTTATGCGAAGTTCCCCCATAACGCCGCCATTTTCGCACTCTCGGTAAGCAAGGAAACCACGCACAAATGGTTGTGGTGGCCATTTTGGAACCACCAATCAGCTGTTTAAAAAAACATTGCAATGCGAAAATCGGTAAGCGAAACACTTACTGATCATCGCAATGCAATGTTTTGCCCATTAAAACATCGCAATGCGATTGCATTAGCGATCTAAAAAAATAGATCGCTATGCAGATTCATCGTTAAACGGTGCACTCGTTATGTGAGGCACCACTGTATGTGTGACTAAGCTGCTTGTCAAGAAAACTAATTCTGGATCATTTCACCTTTGGAAGCAAAATCTGAATCAAATCCCCAGACAAAGGCATTTCTGCAGAATATCATTTATTTCTCTGTTTCAGCTGATGCACATGCTGCTGGAGTACTACACATTTCATGGGATGCTCTGCTCCTCATCTGGCCATTAAAAAGTAGGGAGGGAAGGGAGGTACCTGTACAACTATTGCACATACCTAAAAAGGGTGATCATGGCAAAACTACTACTTCAAATTCCAAGTCAGAGGCAATAATAATAACAGTGTGGGAGCTTTGAGAAAATTGGTACCAAGGTACTTACATTTTCCTTGAGTGATCTGGAGCTGATCAATTACCCCGTGCATTTTCTCCTGCAGGCAGTTCGAGATGGCAAGAATTTAGCCACAGTGACCTGATGAATGAACCAGTCCACAGCAAAGAGGTTGAGTAATGACAGTTGGTTTCTTCCACTTCTATAAAACCAAGGTGTCTTGCAAGATAGCAGTTTTCCTTTAGACTCTGGTATTCAAATGTTCCTTTGTCGTAATAAAAAGAAAAAATATGGTTACAGATCAAGACCTCATATTTGACATAACATTCTCTGACTGTTCATAATACTTCACATATTCTGCCCAGGAGCTTTTGGAACATCCTGTAAACAAAGTTATAACCAGCAAACATCAACTAAGGCACTAAGATTCAGATTCTCTAAAGAAGTTCCTCATCTCAGGCATGATTCCAATAAGGACTTACGTACCCATGACTATACTACTCCAGCTGTCCAGAAAACCCTGAGCAACAAAAGTCCTACATACACAGGTATCACATAGTTGGTGCAGGGTATTGTAATATATATACCAAAGAGCAGATTACATAAATGTTGCTTTTATTTATTTATTTATTTATTTTGATTTGTATTCCACCCATCTGGTCAAATAGACCACTCTGAATGGCTTCCAATAAAAGGAACATATACAATAAATAATAATAATATTACAAACAGACTGACATATGTGAGAATAAAGGAAATAATAAATAAAGAAGAAAATTAGGTATTACCCAGAATACAAGGAACAGTATTCCCTAGAAAATGCAATTCTTGCTGCAGTCATAAAAACTTGAAAGCTACATGAAACCCAACTCTATAAGCACTATTGGCAACCTACTGGATCATGTCCAGGAAAAACTGATATCAAAGAACAAGCCACTACTTCTTCTTGCAAACCTTGCATTGGCGTGCAGTATACTAAGAGGGGGTTCGCCTTAAACCTGTATCAGAGTGCAAAGTAAATAAACTCTGTCCTTTGCTTCAAGGCTAATCCAGTACCTTTCCCATTTAAAAAACCAAAAACAAAATCCTCCATACTGGGTGCCATTCTTTAGTTCTGACCAGGAATTCTGTCTACAATAGACGAGGTGGTGGCTGAGATGCAAAGTGTGTGGGTAAGGAGAAGGTTCTTCAGGCTATTCCTTGAAATGTCATCATTCTCATCTGAACAGCATCTCCCATTACATCTATTTTGCTTGTTCCTGTTAAAAAACAGCAGTTTCCATGCCAAACTGTGGCTCCTGTGAGTAAGAATGGTCAATTCATCTATGGACCTTTGCTTCCTGGAATTTCTACCCCATTAACGTTTTGGCTGTCCTGTGGTTAGTCTTCCCATTTTCAGACTAGCGAGACTTCTTCTCCTACCCCTTCTGCAGTCTGGACAGTTCTATTCTTATACATTGAGCACATAGAAACTAGGCTGTATGTTGGGGGTTTTTAAGATGGGGAGAACAACAGCAAAACAAGTTCAATTCAGCAATACTATCTTATATCCACTGCTTATATCCAGTGATGTGACTGCCTTTGAATTAACAGCATCTCACAGAAACTAAAGTGCAATGGAAGCAGACTTTGAAGTGTTTGTTTATAACAACACAGAGATGAGTCTCTTTCTGGATGGTGAGTAATAGTACCTTTTTTTTCCACAATGGACACCACACTTTTCCTTAGTATTCAAAACATTTCACAGGCATTTGTTCCTACCATTTATACAACAACCCTGCCAGGCTGTAACCTCAACAGCTCCGTAATTCTAAGATTATTATTATTATTATGACTACTATTATCATTGCACATTGTCAACACTGCAACAAGGAGGGTGAGGGGACTAAAGAGGCCAGACAAAACGAATTAAAGAGCCAGCCTGAGACAACCTCATGAATTTATAACTCAAAACACCGTAAACAAGGGCTGGCCCTGTTAGGATGTGAGACCCAGAAGCTCTTAGCAAGAGTAGTGCTGCTGATGGGGATAATGATGGCCATGAGGAGAAGCAGGCTCTCATCTAAGAGAGGACACACTGATGCACTCGCCTGCCCAGGAAAAAGCTATGCCTTAAGAGAGGCGGGATTTTAGACAGAAGGGGCTGCCAGGGAAGGAATCCTCTGGGGGGGGGTGTCCAGAAGGGGCTGGAGATGAAAGAGAGAGGAGGAAGGTGCAGGGAGGGTGGCTGCTATGGGGCAGGAGCCTGTACAAGCGTGTCAGGGGGTAACAAAGGCTTATTCAGACATCATCCTCCCTCCTTTCGTCCCATCCTAATATTTTTTCTTCCCTTTCCGATATTTCCCTGGTCTATTGCAAAACCTCCCCTCGATCATTTTTCTCTTGCACTGTTTCCCAAAGCTCAGAGCTTTACTTTTCACCACCGCCCCTCTGCCAACACCTCCAGAGGAAGCGGCTCTGGCGTCACCGGAAGAAGCCTTCTAGCCGCCCCGGCACTATAGAGTTACTACTGGTCTCTCTTTTTAAAAAAACAACAGTTTGAGGCGCGCGGTGGATCGATAGCGCTACACCCCGACTCGTTGTGGATTAGTAGACTCGCGAAAGGCGTCAACTTCAGAGCTCACGTCACGCGGTTTTTTTAAAAAAAAAACCCTAGTCGCGCCCTTTGGCGGGAATGAGAGATGCTTTGAAGAAAACAACGGAGGCATCGTCGTCTACAAGTGCTGTTCTTTGGCTGGGAATATTGTAGCCGGAGGACTATCATAAGACGTGTAATTCATTCCCTTTCAGAGAATGTCCCTAGGCAGGGGCACATGGTAGCACGTCGAAAACAAATGTGATTTTTTTCCCATTGACTTACATGAGCCCCTCTTCGTAAAATAAGCAAAGCCAGCATCTCAAACCAGGCAACGGTGTATGAATGGGATGATGGGTCAGTCTAACACACCGCATGTGTACTGTATCTGTAATCTCTGGTCATTTACTGATGGTGGCGATTAAATTGTTTGCAGATTGTTAGAATAAGTGCAGGTGTGAGAGGCTGCTTATGAGAACTGCGGAGTATTTATTTATTTATTTAATTTAATTTAATTTAATTTAATTTTTTATGTAACCTGAAACGTCCATGCTTCTCATCCATATTCACTGTGCGAGCCTCTGCTTGCCTAGTTCCGTGGGTGTACAGCCAGAATTTGCAGATAGAGATTTGAAAATCTAATCTTAGGAATTTAGATGACTGAACATTCGATCTCATGGTTTTTATATTCTCGTGGGTCGTTTTGGATTCGCAGATTAATATTTGCAAAATTCAAGGAAAGTCAGTTTTGCAGCTCAGCGCAGCTCCTTTAAAAAAAAAAAAAGGACGTGGAAAGCTGTCCCATTCCAGGGGACAGTTTGGAGTTAGGCTGATGTTGCTTTTTTTAAAATTCAAACGCAATGGTAAACTCGGGGAACAGGGCTGGGGGGCACTTAAGCCCCACATTCTGAACGAAGGAGTCCCCGAGCTGTGTCATGAGCTGCTTTTGTTCTAATAATACACATTTTTGGAGCACTAACCATGTTCATCTATAGATCTTGGGTCCCCACCTGTTCTTGCACTAAAAATTCCAGAAGCCTTCACCACCAGCTCTGCTGACCTGTATTTCTGGGAGTTGTAGTCCAAGAACATCTGGAGACCCAAGGCTGGGAACCACTGATCTATATAATCTTCTGTAGTCTTCTTTGAGATTAGCCTTTGTGGAGTTGTAGCATCTGAAGAAGCAGGACACAATCTGCAGAGCCTTTTTGTGAATCAAACTGACTAGACTTTAAATTGCTGCAAGACCCTTCTTTTTGCTAGTCTAACAGGCCAGAACTATATTCAGAGAAGCCTTACGCTTAAGGGGAGACAGGCAGCATTTACCCTTCTTTGGCATGCCCTGTGCCATGCAGCCCCTAGCACGGTTTCACAACCCATACCAGACCAGGCACACAAAGGAAAGCCTGCTGGAGAAGGGGAAACATTAATGCAATTTCCCTCCCACTCTGTGTTACCTCTTATTATAGCATTTAGTCAGAAGTAAGCCTCTGTGTTCCAGAAGCTGGTTGACTTCTAAATCAGCATGTTGTTGTTTAGTCATTTAGTCGTGTCCAACTCTTCGTGACCCCATGGACCAGAGCACACCAAGCCCTCCTGTCTTCCACTGCCTCCCAGAGTTGGGTCCAATTCATGTTGGTTGCTTCGCAGACACTGTCCAGCCATCTCATCCTCGGTCGTCCCCTTCTCCTCTTGCCTTCACCCTTTCCCAACATCAGGGGCTTTCCAGGGAATCTTCTCTTCTCATGAGATGGCCAAAGTATTGCAGCCAAGAAATCAGAAAGACTGAGACTTTGAAGATAGCTATGAAAGAACTAGAGAACTTCCTTGGGCATAAGAATGTGTCCCTTGAGACCAAGACTCAGGCCCTCCATACTATAGTATTCCTGCTTACTGCATGCTCGTGTGAAAGCTTAGATAATGAAGAAAGCTGTTTAGGATGAAGAAAAAATATTTTGAATTGTAGTGTTCGACAAGAACTGTACAGATATCTTGGACCACCAGACTGATATGTGGATTCTAGATCAAGTCATGCCTAAATTCTCACTAGAAAGTACAACACCTATATGGAGGCTTTTAATACTTTGAACATCATGAGGAGAGAAGACTTGCTGGAAAAGACAGTCCTAGGAAAAGGGGAAGGCAGTAGGAAAAGAGGAAGGTTACACATGAGATAGACTGACTCCATAAAAGAAGTTACTGTATCACCTTGACTGTAAGACCTGAACAGGGTTTTTTTTGCTGTAAGTGGGGAACAGCTTGGCTGCACATAACATCAGCATGAAATATGATGTATAAAGGCTTTAAACCTAATCTACCTGATTAGAGCATTTTGAGATTAAAACGAACGTCCTGTTCCTTGACTGAAAACTATACTATAAACTTCCCACAAGTAGCTCGAAGTTGTTTCTCATCTATTTTCCATAAATGTCAAGCTTTGATCTGCTGCCCATCCTTTCATCTCATATGCCTGAAGTTGACAATTTGTTCTGTTCTTGAATAATAATGGCAGATACTGTCCCTGCTCCAAAATATTCCACCAGAGTGTTGGGTGTGGCAATTAAGGGAGAAGAAGAAGAAAAGAAGAAGTAGAGAAAGAAGGAGCAAGGCACCAGAATCTTACTGGCGATTTACACTGGCATAAGCGTTTTGTATAAATCATGATGGCAAATTGCCATTATTTAATCTGTTAATGCTTGCATTCCAGGTCATGTGCTGAGTAGTGCAATTGGCACCATCAGAAAAGTGGGTGGTGGCAACTCAGTAATTACCAGCAATTTGCTGCTGCAACTTATGCAGTTATACCAGTGCCGACTTGAATGTTCTGGTCAGGTTTTGATAAATTTATGATAAATGTAATCTCTAGCTTTTCTCATATGGGGATTTTTATCTTGTCTGGGGACAGTCATTTACTTATAGTAATTGAGGGAGAGAGAATTGATTCTATATCTTCTGAGATGAAACTTGGTGTGCACACGTCTCAAACCGATTGTCCATGTAGAGCAATTCTAGCAGCGTGCACACGTCTCAAACCGATTGTCCATGTTTGTATTCTGTAGAGCAAATCTAGCAGCTTCATCATACCTAGGGAACCTAAGGTTAGGAACCACTGTTGTATTTGAAGGGGCATCCAGTCCAACTAAGTGTAAAAGGGGAAGAACAATAAGAAATCAGATCGGGGATTTTGAAGTTGCCCATTCCCAGTGAGAAGCACCAGGACAGCAAGATCCAGCAGCAAACATATCCGTCACTTGGTCATAGTTTTCCCTATTCAATGTATGGATTATAAAAAATCATCCCCAATTTTGCCTCTGTTACATGCAAATCAACACATGGAATTTTATGTAAAGCAGTAAAAGGGACATGATGGCGCTGCGGGTTAAAACGCCGAAGCCTCTGCGCTGCAAAGTCAGAAGACCTGCAGTCGTAAGTTCGAATCCACGCAATGGAGTGAACCCCTGTCGCCTGTCCCATCTCACACCAACCTAGTGGTTCGAAAGCATGAAAAATGAAAAAATGCGAGTAGATGGTGGAAAGGTAAACGGCATTCCGTGTCTAGTCACGCTGGCCATGTGACCACGGAGGATTGTCTTCGGACAAACGCTAGCTCTATGGGTTGGAAACGGAGATGAGTACCGCTGCCTAGAGTCAGACATGACCGGATAAATTGTCAAGGGGAACCTTTACCTTTTAAAGTAAAATTTTGTATCTTTCTCTATGGCAATGTATGGCTTCCGTTTTGGTGATGTGTAATGGGTTGCCTGAGGGTATTCTTGTGAAAAATGGAAGAGCTCCATTCATTTCCATGAGCCACGCTAGGAGGAGCTATCATTCAAAGATAGCTCTTCCTTCAGCCTCCAGGATCAGTGGCACCAGGATGCGTGCATGAGCACTGTAATATTTCAGCAGACATTTTTAATAGCTCAATATCAGTAGTGCTGACCATTAGTCACATTCTTTCCCCACCTACAAAAAAAGGCAGGACAATCTCTGGAGTGAGGGTGGGTGTTTCAAAATGTGAAAATCAAGCTCTCCACAGAGGAGAAGTTGCTCCGTTCTTGACTTCTCAAGAGACAATTCAAGGGGCACAGCGTTGGTCTGAGGGTGCCAGGGGGCTACAAATGGCTCAGATTTGGCTACTTGCATCCTGTGTTTTCTTCTGTCTCACATTAGGAGGTGAGTTCCACCACATGAACAACCAGTCTGGACCTGGTGTTCCCCTCTCATCACCACAACACCACCACCACCACCACCACCACATTTTCGCTGTATAAAGGTGATTTTTGCCCACATTTATTACTAACTGATTTTTGCCCACATTTATTACAATCTGAGCTGCTCAGTTAAATGGAACAGTTAAATGTTGTTTTATTAGATGTGTATCTATTGAAGTCACAATATCAGTTATGAAGGAGAATTTTGCTTCGTCCAAATTATGGAGTGACATGACTTGATTGGCACTTTTGTTTGCATTTTCCCTAAAGTCTGGTGAGTAACCCCTGAAAAGGCCTTCTCTCTTATCCCGATGTCCCTCATAGGGGTGTTGAGAGGATAAAAATGGGGACGTATGGCTAGGATTGCCTAGAATTATCTAATGGGTCTTGTTTAACAATGTGTTGTTTCATATCTGGCCTGTCCAATATTTTCGTAGGCTAGCTAGGATATGAACCTGAATATATGGTTGTCCAGACCCATAAAAATCTTCATTTGTAGATGTTCCTCCTTTCCCACCTCTGTCTCCAGTGTTCCAGCCCATTCACCCCACCCCACCACATTGTTTTGTGTTTCCTTTCCTCCTTTCCCACCTCTGTCTCCAGTGTTTATTAAGTTCTGGCCTTTTCTTTTTAAACAAAATGAGAGGTGTTCCAGCCCATTCAGCCCACCCCACCACATTGTTTTGTGCTTCCTTGGTTTCAAAGGTACATACAATGGTGCCACGCTTGACGATTACTCCT